TAAATATTGTTCGAGTTAAATTTTTCGGTCACCGTGAACACTTTCCACACCGAGGTGTAAGAACTTACCCGAAGAATTAGTAAATTTAAAATGAAATCATCTTCTCATCCTTAAATTTGGATTAAGAAAAATACTTATTAATCAGCCGTGTAGTCCAGATAAAGTTGGCTAATGTATTCTCAGTTCAAAAGATATTTGACTAATTTTTCCACATATTCTTGGCGATTAGCCCCATAATCAAGATAATAAGCATGTTCTCAAACGTCAATGGCAATCAGCGGACGGCAATGTAAAGCCCAAGGTCCGTCCTGATTAGCGGTATTAATAATTTCCAACTCTTTCTCCTTATTTAGCACTAGCCAGGTTCAGCCACTCCCTTTCACTTTTAAGGCACTTTTTACTAATTTTTTCTTTAATTCCTTTAAATCAGTGAATTTTTCTTGAATAAGATTTAGCAAGGGTGGACTAATTTTATCTTCAAGTTCGTGTTCTTTTCGCTTAGGCTCAAATTTAGTTAGGTGAGCAAAGAAAAAGTTGTGATTAATTAATCCTCCACCAAAAAAACGCACATCATCTTTTATTTCCTCCGGCAATTGTTCTAAGTTTCTCATCAATTCTTCCAAAGTAGGAAATTGTTTTTCAATTTTAGATTCTTCTTCAATTTTTCTTCCCCGTAGGGTTTCCAACAACTTAACCTCATAATTCTTATGAAGAATATTATAATGATAGTGCATAGTTTTGAAAGAGATTATATTCTCTAATTCATTAAGGTCATAATACTTTTTTAATTCAATTCTTTGATAGGCATTCATAATTAGTGTATTTTATAAATAATTTTTGCGTTTGTGTTCCTACAATAGTTATAAAATTAAAAATAATAAAGGTCAAAGAGAAAGTAAAAGCAAAAATAGAAGTTATTGAACAATTATTTCCTCCGGCGGGGTCTAAGGATAAATTTGTATAAAATTAATTAAGGAGGTAGTAAAGTAAAGTGTAAGGGCGATAAATCGTCTCTCTCTCTCTTTTTTTTTTTTTTTTTTAATTACCTTTTCATCTAACAATCATTTTTCCAAGTTTTCCCTAATTTTCTTTTTCTTACTTTGTCGAAACTCTTTGTTTCTTTTTCAGCAATGAGGACTAATTTTTAAGATTTTTCTCCTAATGCCAAGGATTTTTATATGGCATTTGTCGGTAATTGTGTTAACTGGCTCTTGCGGAGGCTTTTGGACGCTCATAATTGACTTTTATTTCTAAATGTCCGGTTAGTTTGTCAATGTAGTTAATTAATTCCTCTACCGTAAGTTTATTGATATGACAAAAGAGGATGTATTCCAATTTTTCTTGATTAATGCCTAGTTTTTGGGCTAATTTCTGTTCAGAAAGTTGATTGTCATCGCAGTAATCACCAATACTTTGGCAAAGATTGTGCTTAATTTTGTCTTGTTCGCTAGCATTAGGGAATAGACCTTTATTTATTCGCCGATAACCTGGTTGGGTCATTCTTTTAATTACTTTTTGCATTTCTTCCTCTGGTGGGAAAACAAATTGCTTTTTATTATTTAGTTCTTTTTTCATAAGCATAATAGTATTTATTAGGGTTTCCTGTTATATTTAAAGTTTTAGGGTTAACAATGTTTTTAATCCTCTTTTGCTTCATT